AATGTTTCTTGTTTTAGGTTTGTCTTAGGTTCCCTCATGGTTAGGTTCATGCCAGATTGGCATACTACATAAGCGATGCTGTGTTTTTCTCGGGGCATCACATGTGGAGGCACATGATATCCACTTGCCTCCTCACTGGTGATGTTAAATTTTTTTTTCAGTACTCTACACCCAACATGGGGCTTGAACTCATGACCTCGAGATCAAGAGTCACATGCTCTATCAACTGAGCCAGTCAGGCACCGCTGGGGATGTTAATTTTAATCACCTAGTTAAAGTGTTGTCTAATTTCCATTTCTATTTTTCTCTTGCAATTAATAAGCAGATGTGAAGAGAAACTTTAAGACACACAAATATTCGACCCTAGATTTGTCAAATTTTCACCCCAAGATTTAGTATCCATTGATGATTCTTGTCTGACCCAATCTTTGCTGTCATGGTTGCAAATTGATGAGTCTTTAACTCTAGCACGGTCTCCACATTTACCAGTTGACCCTCAGCATTCTACTGTAGACAAGAGTCTTCCCTTCATCTGTCTGTCTACCTCCTATCTATCTATCTATCTATCTATCTATCTATCTAATCTGTCATTGGTATAGACTCATAGATTCTTATTTTCTCTATTTTCTATAATTCATTGTAGTCCTTAATTGTGTTGGTCCTTAAATTGTTTCAAATTTGGCCAGTGGGAGACCCTTCTGTGTCTTTTTGATATGCCCTATCTTTTTTTTTTTTCTTAGAGTACCTCCTTATTCTGTCACAAAATGATGCTCATGTATCATCTTGTACCCACCCTGTTCTAGCTCAGAAACCAGTGATTTCTCTATGGACTCCTGCTTCCTTTCAGTAGGGAATCATATTAGAGACCAAGTTTGGGTATTGGGTATGATCATTGCTACTTGGGTGTCTTTGCTTATAGGCATATTCTGTGGATAGGAAAAGGAAATATATGCACGTACATATACATATATAATCTGTACGCATGCATACATGTATATATGCACATTTACACTTACATACACACATGTATGTATTCATTTTTATAAAGCTTCAGTCCATATCAATACCTTCAATTTAGTCTATCCCATAGGATTCACCTTGCTATCCCCCTTTCATTATTTGTATGACCCTTCTTCCACACTGAGAACCCTGGCTCTCAACAATATCAACACATTTACTCATCTATCATTCAGCTAAAATATGTTTATATATTTACTCATATCTAAATACACTTATATACTATAGAAATATATTTATATAGATTGATGATATATATCAATATTATATACATCTATACTACAATCTATAATACATCTAAAATAGATTCAGAATTGCTTTGCCCATACCTCTACAAAAACAAGCCTACTAAAAAGGCTTCAGGATTTGTTTGCTGTTCTCCCCCTACCCTGACCAAGATTGAGAAATGTTTATACTCTGATTCTATGTTTGTAAAGTACTTGGATTAGTTGGATCTTTTTTCCTCTTCAGTGTGGTTATGTTATTCATTTAAATACTTTTATAATCATTTATTTGGTTTGCTTTTGGTTTTAGAAACCCCTTCCCAACTTTAATTTTTTGATCATGTGAAACATGTTTTCAAGAGTCAACACTATATAAAATGGTATAGTGAGAAAAGCATCACTCCATTCTGTATTCCTTCTGCCTTATTCCCCACGCACCCCCCTTTCAAGGAACTATTGTTTTCTGTTTAGCCTTTCGGAGCTTCTTTTTGGACAGGTAAGTGGATACACGCACGTTTTCTTATTTCTCCCCATCACTCGAAAGGTAGCATACTACAGATGCTCTTCTGCAGTTTGATTTATTCATGTAAGAATATCTCTTGGGAATTACTCCCTATCAGTTCATAGAGGTCTTTCTTTTCTTCATTTACAGCAACGAATTACCCCATTATGCGTATTTATCATAGTTTATTTAACTCATCACCTATGCCCGGATAGCTCGTTTCTAATATTTTGCAACTGCAAATAATGCTGCAGTGAATAACCTTGTGCAATTTGTGTGTGTGTGTGTATTATTGGAGTTGTGCCTTCAGAATTATTGCCCAGAAGTGTGATTGGCAGGTCAAAGTGTAAATGCGGATGAAGTTTGTTGGACAATGCCAAGTTCCTCTCCATGGGGGCTGTACCATTTTGCATTTTTAGTGAGAAAGCAGTGTGTGAGTGCCTGTTTTCCCCCATGTCCTTGCCAACACGATGTAATCATAAGCTTTTGAATTTGTGCCAAACTGATGGGTGAGAAATGGTGTCTTAATGTTGTTTTGAGTTTCTCTTATTATGAGCGAAACTGAACATTTTCTCGCATGTTTAGGGTCCATTTTTATAATGCCTGTGTCGCAAATTGTCTGTGGATATCTTTTGCCCATTTGTTCATCGGATTTAAAGATTTTGAAAGTTGTGTATTTGGAAGACACAGCTTTTAATACAATTTACACTAACGGAAGGCAGAATCCCAAAGTACCTGCTGTGGATAAGCTATGGTTTCTGCCTTCCACGAATTCACAGTGTGTAAAATGAACACTATCACAATGGATATGAGCAGAAACTCTGGACCCAGATTGCCTAGGCTTCTTCAAAGGCCAGTCCTGACACTTAGGCACATTTTAAGCCTCTTGGAACTTTAGTTTTTTCTAACTGTAAGATGAAAATATTCACAGCATATACCTCTCAGGATTGTTTTAAGGATGAAATGACTTAACACATGATAAGTACTTTGAAGGGTGGCTGGAACAGTAAACATTTCATAAATGTTAGCTATTTAGCAGTCAAAAAAATGCTCTGCAACCCACTCATCTGAGCCCATAAGAATTTTGTTTTAAATGGTTATAAAAAATGAGGACCTGGAGGTTTTGAAACATTAGGTGAATCAGTGGTAGAACCAGAGTTTTTTAAAAGTAATCTCTACACCCAGCATAGGGCTTGAACTCAAGATATTGAAATCAAGAGTCATATGTTCCACCACGGAGCCAGTCAGGCACCCCTGAATAAGACAGATCTTTGAGCCCCTGGAGCTCACTTTCTTATACTGGAGGGGTCTGTGTGGGCTGTAGGAAGGAAAAAAAAAACAAAAAAAACCTAAGTAAACTAATTTTGTCTGTCTTGTTCATTACTCGTCATTCAGCACACACAACAGTGTTAGAACTCATTTGTTAAATGAAAACGAGGAATAAATGACTGAGTAGTGAAAAACGCAGCTCAATACGTAGTTAGGGCCCAAATCATGAAAGGCCTTGCCAACTATTCTGAAGAGTTTGGACTTTATCCTGAGCAGAGAAATCACATCACCCAACTTGCATGGAAGAAAACTTAAGCCAGTGGCTGCGTGGAGGACCCACAGCAGAAGGGCCCCACAGCAGAAGGGCCCCCAGCAACAAGCCACCTCGGTGTAGTGGGAAAGAAACGATGAGTGCTGAATCAGGAGGGAGTCTGAGGGGACAGAGAGGAGAACTGGACAGAGATTTAGAAGTCAAGACTGACTTTACACACGCTTGGTATAGAAGGAGGGTGGGGGAGGGACAAGTCTGCAGTAACACTGAGGTTTCACTGTGATGAGAAATTGAAGAGGGATAGCTGACTGGGGAAAACAAAGAATGGATTTTCCAACACACACAGATATGAGGCGACCGTGGGACAATGCTCAGTCTCTTGACTGTACTTGCATTTAGCTTCTCAACACTCCTTGAAGTCGGGAGCTGTGTGGGCCTGTTCGGGGCACTGTAGTAGCATTCTATGACATTAATATAGTGTCTGACCGTGGAAAGGATACCAGTTAGGTCGATTGACTAGGAGGAGTGCAGCCTTAACTCCCTGGGGGTTCCTGATGGGGGTGCACCCAGTAGTAAGTTCACTGCTGACTCTAACGGAAAGTTTATTCTTTGACTGCAAAAATACTCACTTTTGCATCTTTTTTCATGCCCAAGATGATACCTTGCAGAAAGCAGATTGTTGGCAATACTAGATAGATGCCGCATAGGGAGATTATGAAAGGAAATCCATCATCAGGCCAGGCTTATGGCTTGAGCTTAGGCTGCCCCAGGGGTACTGAACCAGGATGCAGGGAGTTAGGAAGTCCAGGAGGAGCTTCAAGTCCCTTTCCAGATGAATAAACAGACAGCCCAATGAAAACTCCTCTAAAATGGCACCCTGAAGCTTTCATGACACCAGTGCTTTCCAAGAGATTGTGCAGGAGGTAAGGCCGTGATATTTAGACTTTTGAGAAGACGTGGACAAGACAGCAATTCAGATACCTGGACGCCTGTCTTTACCAAGGAAAAGGAGTTTTTAATGCATTGGTGATGTAGTAGAAATCCAAAAGAAAAGAGACTGTGTTTCACAGAAGCTTCCACGGACTGGTGTTTATTTTAAAAAGTGACCTGCACTTTCTGGAGGATATCACTGGATCCTCACAAGAAGGTTTCATCATAGTTAGGAAAGGACCTACTACAATTCATTTTCTGATGACAATGCTTTCTGGCTTGTCCCTGCAAGGTACTAGGGGCAGGAAAAGGTATGCAGTCAAGAAGATAGGGGGGAGGGTCTCATAAGCAGATGGGAGCTATTGCAAATAAACCATAGGATGGTCTCTGGAGGGGAAGCAACATTAGGGACTTGGGCGAGGAAAGATCAAGAGGAAAAGCAGGGCAGAGCAATAGCTTAGGAGGAAGGCAGGTAGGGTGGTATCCCCCACAGAAGGTGGCGGATAAAAAAAGAGAAAAAGGCGTGCGAAAGCAACCGCACGTGCAGGGCACGAGTTAAGGATTATGAAGAAGAGCTGTAAAAAGAATTGGGTTACTGAACTGGGAAGGAGGGACTTGGTTCTCTGGAGATCCCTTCTGCGTTCACACAGGCCAGCCCAGCGCTAAGGGGGTGTGGTACTGAGCTCGCAGCCGTGCGGATGCCAGGTGACCGCGGTGGGGGCGCCGCCCAATCCCATCCAGTAGCGGGAGGCCAGGAAAGCCTAGGGACAGGCTGACAGTCGGGCAGGGAGGCTGGCAGGGCGGAGGCGGAGCGAAGGCGCCGATGGGCGGGACGGGGGAGGGCGTGGGGAGGACAAGGAGGCGCTGGCTACTGGCGGCGCTAGGACCCGCCAGCGTCCCGCCGGCTCCCGGGAGGTTGATAAAGCGGCGGCGGCGTTTGACGTCAGTGGGGAGTTAATTTTAAATCGGTACAAGATGGCGGAGGGGGACGAGGCAGCGCGGAGGCAGCAGCCGCACCAGGG